CCCCACCCCTCACTGCTCTCTCCACAAGGGCCCAGGCCTCGTCGTCAGCTTTCCTGGCCCAGGTGCCGATCTAGGAGATCTACAGAGCCGCTACTTGGTCCTCAGTGTGCACTTTTGCTTGGCACTATGCCATCGTCTGGCACACCAGAGACAATGTGGCATTTCGTAGAGCGGTCCTGCAATCCACGGTACTTCACTCCGACCCCATCGCCTAGGTAAGGCTTGGGATCAGGAATTGGAATCGATATGAGCAAGCACTCAAAGAGGAAAAGACGGTTACTCACCTTTGTAACTATTGTTCTTCGAGATGTGTTGCTCATATCCATTCCAAACCTGCCCTCCTTCCCCTCTGTCAGAGTAGCCGGCAAGAAGGAACTGAGGAGGCGCTGGGTCGGCTGGGGTATATGTCCAGCGCCATGAAGGTGCCACTCCAGGGGGCTCCGCTGCCAACCCACCGGGTGTTGCTAGGGTAAAAATTCTCCGACGGCCGTGCACGCGGCACGCACACACCTAATTGGAATGGATATGAGCAACACATCTCCAAGAATAACAGTTACAAAGGTGAGTAACCATTTTTTACGGAAAAAGAAAAGGAGGACTTGTGGCAACTTAGAGACTAACAAATTTATTTGAGCATAAGCTTTTGTGAGCTACAGCTCACTTCATTGGATGCATTCAGTGGAAAATACAGTCTCTCCACTGTGTTTTCCACTGAATGCATCCGATAGCTCAAATAAATTTTAGTCTCTAAGGTGCCACAAGTCCTCCTTTTCTTTTTGTGAATACAGACTAACACGGCTGCTACTCTGAAACATGTCATTTTTTCTGGCTTATCTCTCTTTGTAACAGATGCTGATGTCAGATGTTGAGAAAACCCAGCTTGACTCTCTGATCCCAGATAAGCTTTGCAACACTGTCACTGTGCGAGTCAAAAGCTGATAGTTAGATCTATTCCTCCTCTTTCCCCAACTGAACAAACCTGATCTGGAAGCCACATGGAGAGAGAAGCTAAATCTGGAATCCCCTCATAGCGTCGTTAGAGAGGCACTTTACTCACTACAGCCACTCTTTAATTGGTTGTCGTTAGGCTCTTAACCGAACCCCCCAGTCTTGCTGTCATTGCCGCTGTCCACTTGGCTGTGTGCTTGGTACATGCATTTTTATCACTGAGGCAGATGGGCTCAGAACCTTGCCTCTCAAGCTTAAACTGTAGATTCTGGCAAATCCACCTCAATTTTTGGGAGCATCCCAAATGCACTGGCACCTACGATTGTCCCAGGCAACACGGGATTGGGGAGGGGAAGGCTGCACAGGAAAGTTGGTTTAGAGGCTTGGATTTGACAGGAGTGCAGAGAGAAGGACAGAGCTAAATGTGTCTGATCCCTGCTGCCTGTATGTGGGTGTCTGAGAATCAGAGCACCTTGGCACAGAAACTCATGTTGTTGAACATGTAGCTAGCTGGATGTTTTAATGTGAACACCAGGGGCCAGAGTCTCATCTCACTTAAACCCATGTAGATCTGGAGTAGCCAGTGAGTTAGTCTGGATTTATTGTGGGGTAACGGAGAGCAGACTCTGGCTCCGTGGGTCTGTGGAGTCCCCCTGCTCCCATTCTGACTCAGCAGAGCTGAAGTCATGGAGATGCTTTGGGGCAGTTTATTCCATGAGTGCCCCCTGCTGGCTGAATAGTAGTGCAGCTTTGACAGAGGCCACTCTCCTGGCTGCTCTGAAAAGCATTGTTGAATAGAAGAAGTGAGGTAGAAAGGCAATCCCAGCACAAGGCAGATGCAGGAGAGAAACCTGTCTAAGTATTTCTGTTACCCTCATCACCATGTATCCAAGCACTGCACAATCACTGGTAGATTCATCTAAGTAGGAAGTGTTATACCCATTCTGCAGATGGGGAAACTGAGACTAAAGAACTTGCCCATAAATGTCTGGTGCGTCATTGGCTGAGCCAGGAACTGAACGCAGGGCTCCTGAGTCCCCGTCCAGTGCCCTGTATACTGAACTATCATTTCTACCTCCCCTGTGCACCCCTTCTGATCAAGCCTTTGGTTTGGGAACATTCTGGGTGGCCATTCTAAACAGGAGATCCTTCCCCACTCTCCGGGGAGAACAGCAGAAGAACACTGAATCATAGAATATCAGGGTTGGAAAGGACCTCAGGAGGTCATCTAGTCCAACCCCCTGCTCAAAGCAGGACCAATCCCCAACTAAATCATCCCAGCCAGGGCTTTGTCAAGCCTGACCTTAAAAACCTCAAAGGAAGGAGATTCCACCACCTCCCTAGGTAACGCATTCCAGTGCTTCACCACCCTCCTAGTGAAAAAGTTTTTCCTAATATCCAACCTAAACCTCCCCCACTGCAACTTGAGACCATTACTCCTCATTCAGTCATCTGCCACCACTGAGAATAGTCTAGATCCATCCTCTTTGGAACCCCCTTTCAGGTAGTTGAAAGCAGCTATCAAATCCCTCCTCATTCTTCTCTTCCGCAGAATAAACAATCCCAGTTCCCTCAGCCTTTCCTCATAAGTCATGTGTTCCAGTCCCCTAATCATTTTTGTTGCCCTCCGTTGGACATTTTCCAATTTTTTCACATCCTTCTTGTAGTGTGGGGCCCAAAACTGGACACAGTACTCCAGATGAGGCCTCACCCATGTTGAATAGAGGGGAACGATCATGTCCCTCGATCTGCGGGCAATGCCCCTACTTATACATCCCAAAATGCTGTTAGCCTTCTTGGCAAAAGGGCACACTGTTGACTCATATCCAGCTTCTCGTGCACTGTCACCCCTAGGTCCTTCTCTACAGTACTGCTGCCGAGCCATTCGGTCCCTAGTCTGTAGCGGTGCATGGGATTCTTCTTTCCTAAGTGCAGGACTCTGCACTTGTCCTTGTTGAAGCTTGTTGGATTTCTTTTGGCCCAATCCTCCAATTTGTCTAGGTCCCTCTGTATCCTATCCCTACCCTCCAGCGTATCTACTTCTCCTCCCAGTTTAGTGTCATCTGCAAACTTGCTGAGGGTGCAATCCACGCCATCCTCCAGGTCATTAATGAAGCTCTCCAGCAAAGATCCTCATCGCTGCATTTAGAGTGACACACAGCCAGTGGAATCAAACCAATCCCCCTTAGCAAAGGCTGCGAATTCCGGGTATGGGAAATTATCCCTCTCCAGCTGCTCACTGTGTAGCACATTGTCCTCATTAAATTTCAGCAGGCAGATGAATAATTGGTTGCCACCATTAGGATGGAGCGATTCTTCACTCTGCTGGCGTGATACTAATTTCACACCCTGTCTGGAAATGTATAATGTTTTGCTTAAAAGCATAACATAGGATGTCTTGATGCTGAGCAGGCATCTTGCGGAAGGGGCCAAGGGGTGGCACAGGCTGTGTTTCTCAGGAAGCTAGAGAGCTCCCAGGGTCTTTCTGTCTGTCCTTTATGTCCATTGTAGCTTAGTCTTGGTGCTTCTGTACCACAAGAAACACTACTGGCCACTGCCAGAAAGGCGAGACAGGACTGGATGTTTTTGTTTCCTTTTGTTAATTCCTGAGTCTTTTAAAAAGAAAAGGAGGACTTGTGACACCTTAGAGACGAACAAATTTATCTGAGATAAGCTTTTGTGAGCTACAGCTCAGCCTGCATTCACGCGTTCAGTGGATCTGGATGCATCCGGTGAAGTGAGCTGTAGCTCACAAGAGCTTATGCTCAGATAAATTGGTTCGTCTCTAAGGTGCCACAAGTACTCCTTTTCTTTTTGCGGATACAGACTAACACGGCTGTTACTCTGAAACCTGAGTGTTTTTTAAAGCTGCACTCCCAGTTCCATCAGCTGGAAACTTTAACCTAGGCTGCAGACTCCTGGAGCTGTGAGCATCTAGCAGGTTGTCTCTGCCTTGCCCGCTGTCAGGGTGTGATTGTGTTGTTAATGTCAGCATGGAGGATTAGATCCTGGCCCATGCCATGGCCCCTTCATGCTGTTCTGGGGGCAGAAAGCTGCCCTAACGGGGCAGCTGGGGATTCCCCCAGTGTGGGGCATTCTCAGAGCCATGCTAGCTGGCTCCGTACTACATGCTCTCTGGGCATAGGGCGCGTGCCACAGGAAAGGGTGTAACCATTGTACTCTGGCAACTTCCAGCTGGCAGAACAGTGCCTAGGGAGCTATTATCAGAATGGCGTAAGCTAGAACAATCTTGAGGCTTCTGTCTTATGCTGGGGCTGAACAGGCTCTTGGCAGCCCAAGGGATCAAGAGAGTGCAAAGGTAACAGTCACTTTCACCCCCTCCTCTTCTTGGCTGGCTGAGCAGAGGTTAAGGAAGGTTAGCCATCTTTCTCCAACCCCCCCCCCCCCCAAAAAAAAAAAAAAATTGTGCTATGCTTTGAAATATCTGCTGCTGGCCCTGGTCAAAGACCGGCTGCTGGACTAGACTGACCATTGATCCAGCAATCCCTCTGGCTCTGGCCTGCCCCCCCTGAGTGTTTGGGATTATGATGTGTTGAGCAACAAATTCCCCAAGAACTCTGAACCTTTTACACCCCTCAGTTTGCTAACTGCATCAACTGATACAAATGCTCCCATTGCAGCCAGCTAGCGAGGGCTGAGGTGTCTGGTTACTTCCTTGCCAACTGGCTAGACGGGTCCTTGGAAATCCGTCAGGGCTGCGGGTCAGCAGAGGCTAAGTGCTGCAGGAGAGGACATTGACACCCTCCCAGATGCGGAGGCTGTCACACTCTCTGAATAGCTGGGCATGTCAGTCTCCATGACTGGGCATGTGTCTGGCAATGGATGCTCCTGGGTATGCCCCTGGCCATGGCGAAGCCAAGCATCCAGATGCAGGTGGCCAGTGGGGAGGAGGGGCCAGATTGTATTGGAAAAACTGTTGACTCTGCTGCAGGGAAAGTGTTGCAGATAATGAGCAGTGGGTTTAATGGAGCGAACGGATTGCCGGGCTGGCGCTCTGACAGAGCCCTCTCTACCTTCTCTCCCGCAAACAGAGGAAAGGAGACCAAAGGAGGAAGGAGCAGAGGTCCCAGCTGGCACAGTCGAGGACTGGCTGGAGAAGAGAGCAAAGAGGCTGAGTTTTGCTCAGAGCAACAGGTATGTGAGGCTGGCAGTTCCCCCACCCCAGTCAGAAGATGGTCCCATCCTTCACCCCAGCCTCCTTGAATATTAAAGATCGTGGAGGTTAGTCAGAGCAGACTAAGCTAGTGGATTGAGGGTGGGAGCCGGGAATCAGGAGACCCCGCTGGTGAGTTGCTGTGACCATTTGGGCAAGTCACATAAAGCCTGGGTTTCAAAGCTATGCACGTGCGCTTGGTGTATGTCGTACCTACCCGCTTATGCAAAACTGGACTGGCACGCACAGAGCGGGGATGCATGCACTTGTAAACTGAGGATGGGTTCCGCTGTTGTGGGGAACTTTCCTGACTTGTACACGCTCCCCTGGTGGAATGGGCTAGCGAAAGGATCGGAGTCCTCGCTCCCACTCCCTTTACCCAGGGGTCTGCCTGACCTCAAGGGCTCCCCTTCCACTCTCCTGTATGGCAGAGTCCTCGTAACCCTGACAAGGTTGGGACCAGGATTCCTGGGGCGCTTGACTCCCAATCTTGTGGTCACTTAGGGCATGGGCTAGGGTGTCCCCACTCCGAGGATCCTCTCTGCACTCTGGACACTTCCCTGACCCACTGATCATTACATATACACCTCTACCTCGATATAATGCAGTCCTTGGGAGCCAAAAAATCTTACCGCATTATAGGTGAAACTGCGTTATATCGAACTTGCTTTGGCCTCGAGCATTTCCGTTATTAATAGTCACTTCCCGCCCCCTGACTGACCCCTCAGAACCCCCGACCCATCCAACCCCCCCGCTCCTTGTCCCCTGACTACCCCCTCCAGAGACCCCCCCGCCCCAACCACCCCTCCCAAGACCCCACCCCCATCTAAGCCCCCCTGTCCCCTGACTGCCCCCCCAACCCCCCCGAGACCCTGTGCCCCTTCTCCAACCCCTCGGCCCTGGCCCGGCACCCTTAACATGCCGCTCAGAGCAGCGTGTTGGAGCCAGATGCGCTGATCCGCCGGAGCGCGCAGCCCCGCCCCCCAGAGCGCTGCTTTACTGCGTTATATCCGAATTCGTGTTCTATCGGGGTAGAGGTGTAGTTCAAGCAAATACAATTTATGAAACAGCAATCAATTTAAATAAGGAAAAAATGGGAAAGGCTAAAGATCAGCCCGTCCTGTGGCTCAAGGACATCTCAACCAGTGTTGCTGGAATGTCAGGGAAGTTCAGTCTGCCACTCACATGTGCCAGGCCTCCCTCCCAGGCCCTGGCTGTGCTGCAGGGATACCGCGGGTCGGACACTTGCTCTGGTGGTGGCCACACACCCTCAGGCTCTAGATGGCAGGACCCTTCTTTCCAGTGTCGGCCCCCACTTTGGGGTTATGATCCACCTCCAGGTCTGGCCTGCAGGGCCTCTTCTCTGGGGCGGGGGCGGGGTCGGGGTCTCTCTGCGCTGGGCCCATTGTCCAGGGTCCCCCTCGCTCTCCCCAGCTGCTCACCACACCTGGCTCCAGCCCCCTGGGCTGCTTCTCTGGCTCTGGTTGCTGCAGCTCTGCTCCCAGCATGGATCTGCTCTCTGGGCTGCTTCTGTGGCTTTTGCTGCTATGGCTCTGCTCCCTGGGCTGCTTCTCTGGTTCTCTCTGGATCTGGCCGGTGTGGCCCTGCTCTCTCCTTAGTTGGGCTCCACTCTGTTCCAGGCAATTCTAGCTCACAAAGAGGACAGGACTCCTCGCCTCCCGATTCCCTCATTAGCCTGCCCGCCTTGTCAGTCAGGCTGACCTGGAGCATTGGCCTCTCCTCATTGTTTCTGGGGACTGTCAGTCTCAGGATCCTGATTTCCCATAGACCCTGCCCCTTTCTTTTGGTACCAGGAGCTAGCCAACCAAAAAACCCCACTGAGTTTTAGTAAGGGGCCAACAGTCCCCTTACACACTCATGGCTTTGAAAATCTCAGCCTTGCTTTCTCTCTCTCTGCCTTAGTTTCCCTGTCTAATGTGAGCTAGTGATATTTCACTCCCCTTTGCAAAGAGCTTGGAGATCTCTGGCTGGAAAATGCCACTGAAGTGCTGTGTGTCATTAACAACCCGAGTTCTGGGGACAGACTGCTGAGCCCAGCTTGGGGACAGCTTCTCTGCCCTCTGCTTGTCCTCCCTGCACAGCCCCTGCCTTCTGGTTTGCTAGCAGTGGAATGGAACCAGCCTCTCCCAATGGCATTCTGACAGCCTGGCATTGCCCGTTGTCTTACTCACCTGACTGTGCCGCAGGCTTAATTGGCTGTTGCTTGGTCAGGTGCCAGATCTCTTTTGTTCTTTTCTGCTTACTCTTGTCCCTTCTGCATTGGTCTGGGCATGATCTTCCTTGTGGAAGGTTTCTAGGTGTGCTGCTTTCCTTTTATCCCATCTGTCCCCTTGGCTGCTCTTAGCCCTTCAGCAGAACCTGCTTGCAATGAATAACTTTGGCACCCATGCAGTGCGGTCGCCCCTTGTGTTTGTCCTGTTCAGAGCTTTGCAGTGCCAGGTGAAATGGCCACAAACTAGTCCCTGTCTCCCTGGTCGTTAGAAGCAGGCAGGGGGCATGGGATGCTGGGTGTTTTGTTTGTTGAGCTCCTCTTTGCTCCAGTAGATGCTGCTGGTGCATCTGCCAGTCAGGAGCTGAATATCATTCATGTAAGAGCTTCACCTTCAGACCAACATGGCAAATGTCTGCTCCTACCAGCTACACTCACCCACACAAACAGCCACAGGATGCTTAGCAGCCCTTGCTATTTTGCTGTCCTGAGCAACTGTGTTCTGTTTTGTCTGGGAAGGAGCCTTCACTTTCCACTCTCAGATTCTTCACAGGGCGTTGACTCGCCCAGCTAATGTGTGGGCGGCCGAGAACGTTGGCAACAGGGGGCAAGTAGCCCATTTCCCTAGCTTATCCTGGGAAGGGTCTTTCTCTTTCCTCTGCAGTGTGGAGCATGGAGCACTAGCTGGAATCATCTGGGTACGTCTCACTTCATCAATTCCCTGCCATTGCTGGGGCCTCGGGCATTGGTGGCACCCTGGTCTCTCGTGTTCTCTGCCTGTGGACTGTAATGCTTTGGTTTAACTGAAGTCATTGGGTTCAGTGTAGGGGTATCTGGGGGAGATGTAATGGCCTGTGCCACACAGGAAGTCAGACTTGATGATCTGGTGGTCCCTTCTGGCCTTAAACTCTATGAAACTCACAGAGAGGTGACCCATTCTCTGAAAGGGTTGGACAGTGCAGTGGTGGGTACGTGGAGTTGAAACACACGTGCCCTCCAGCACCTGCTTCATTTAGCTAGTGATTTGTGTGGCTGCTGGTGTCCGTAAAGGCCATCCAGCTCTTTTTAAAATGAGACTAAACTGTAGAGAAAGTGCCTTGGGGAGCAGTCTGCATTGGCAAAGAGATGGGACTAGGGGATCCAACGGGCTGTTTCCATCTCACCTACCAGGGAGAGCAGCTCAGGGGATGATGGAAAAGCTCTTGGCAGCAGCGTGCTCCTGAATGGTCTGAGCAGCTCCCGCGTCCCCTGCTGATGTGCCTCAGTCCATGACCTGGGGGTGGGAAAGGGGAGTTGAGCTTCTGTCTCCATTTGCTCTGTGTCCTCTTGGCTGAGGTAACACCATGGGCCTCCGATCCTGCGGGAAATGAGTGGAGACCCACCAGCTTGTCTCACATAATCCCCCCAAACAGCCACCCATTCCCTTCTGGCTGGCTTGGCTTTGAAGTGATGGTGTTTATACAAGAGGCTCCCATCTGATCCTTATTGCCTGAGCCATGCAGTTCTCTGCCATCCTTTGGATAGGGAGACTGAGGTGGAAGGAAATCCATGAATAATTGTATCTAAGGTACATATATGGCCCCCATCAGCATGTAGTTATCTTCCCAATGCCCCTGTAATATCACCATTGAACAGATGGGAAAAGTGAGGCACGGAGAGGCTGAGTGACTTGCCCAAGTTCATACAGAGAATTGAACCCATGTTTCCCAAGTTTTAGGCTGGCACCCTAACCACTGAGCAACCCTTCCTTTCCGGAAGGCCTGCCTCCCACACAGTTCTTGGACCAATAGAACCATTTTGGTTAGGATGGTGACTTTTTTTTAACCAATATGGTTAGATGGGTACAAGCTCTAGAGTAGATGTGGTTACATTGTGATAAAGGGGTCCTATACCGCTATAGTTTATTCCCCTTCCTGTGTGGGTATAGCTGTACCACTGTGTGCACTCTTACACTGGTATAACTGCGTCCACACTAGGGGGTCATGTGGCATTAGCCATACTGGCCTAGTTAAAGCAGAACAGCTTTTGTGTGGCCTAAATGTAGCAAAAGCAAAGTTACCACCAGACGCTGAAAGCATCTGCAGTGTCATCCAAACTCCAGAATAAGCTCCACCAAGGGGATGTAAACATTAACCCAAATCATAGAATTGTAGGACTGGAGGAGACCCCCAGAGGTCATCTAGTCCAGTCCCCTGCACTCATGGCAAGACTAAGTATTATCTAGACCATCCCTGAATGATTGTTCCACTGAGATTGCATGAAAGGCAATGCACTAAATGTTAATAGTCAATTCAATTCCAGCACATGGTCTGGGCTCTGACGGGGGCAGGGGAACTGCGATTCTCTGGATAAGCACTATTATGTAAAGGAGCTTGATTACATTCATCCTGGCATAACAATTAAAAAGAGATACATGAGGATCAGAAGTAGAAGCCCCTGAGAATCAGTGAAAGCAGCTGTCAGGACTCATGCTGGAGAACAAATGAGTTGTTCTGAACTGAGGAATTGCTGGAAAGGGGGCAGGTTGTCTGCCAATGGAAGACTTAAAGGGCCAAGCGCATCCCTGTTCCAGAGATAATGGAGTGACACCTCAGCTGTCTTTGGCCCTTGGTGTGCAGAATGATTGATTATCCTCTCCGGAGCGCAAGAGGCATTCAGCTCTGGCATGGGAGTGCTGTGCTTTGGGCAGAGGGGCTGCCTGCTAGTGTTAACTGCAGATCTTTACCCGTTCAGGCCTGCAGTGGTGGTGTC